GGTTTGGTTTGATTCCTTCAGTCCAAAATTACAACGTTTTAGTGAAAAAAATCAAAACACTGGCATACTGCCGCTAAAACTTGATTGAAGTGAGGCTTGAGTATGCATGGATATTTGTATTACCAATATATACAAACTTAAACAAGAACGAAGAGTAAGTTACCTTCTGCAGCAGGCAGACGCAAAGCTTGTGCTTCAACTTCGACTGATTTGGTGCATAAGCAGAGAACTGAAGCGAGCATAGTAAGGTTCATGATTGTTTTTGGAGCAATACAATTAACTCCTCTTGCCATTTATCCTTTATGCACTACAGTGGTAAGAAAACTCTCTCAGAATTTCTCTCTCTTTATCTCATCCTCACTCTTCTTTCTTACTCAAGCTTGTGCAATGCACACAAACCATTACCAATTTATAGGCAAGGAGTACCCGACCCTTCAGTGAGATTGCCCTCACATAATGCATCTCATTATTATGTTGAAGAATATGAGCCCCACATCGGAAACTTGACTAAATAAAATACAAAATATAATGAATAGTTCTACTACTAATAATATCGAGGCCTTTTGTGATAAAACTTCACACACACTAGGCTTTGTAGGTGATTAAGTTGGAGACAATATCAATGTTGTTAGTAGTGGGACACTGGGCCGTCTCTATGAATTTGACCTGAATTGGGCCTCTACCCTTACCCAATATGTGGTGTTCATATGAAAATTGTTAGTATGAAAATTGTATTGGTATTTCCTAGATCTCTAGCATATGTTGGGAATTAGGGTGTGAATATCTTTTATTGGAAGTTTTGGTGCAACACATTCAATCTTGGATTTGTAAAGTCTGACTTGATCGATATGAGGAACTTGGTTTCAAGTAAATCATGACATAATCATACATTCATTATAGGATTCCTAATTGGAGTTATTTTCACTCAAGTGCTTTTATATTAGTCCTATTTTTAATATGATTAGATTTTATCTCTCGAGATTATTTTCTTAGTTGGACCTTATTTTAGTTTAAGTAAAAATATCATTTTTCATATTTGACTTGGAGAACATGTTTCTTTTAATACCCAAATTGGTTTCATTGATATATATATATATATATATATATATGGTTTCCTTGAATAACAATTGGTGGGATTGGAAGTTAATCTTGAAGAGTGAATAAGATGACGATATGGAATAGGAATTTTATAGAATCAAATCGGATTAGGCAAGATATTGATATCTTGGCTTTATGAATTTTCTCTTGCAAGATAACATATAAAGCAAAAGTGTGCATCTCCTTATTTGTACAACTTTTACATGTTTTGATTGATCATCTAAATTTCTCTAGAAAAACTTATGTGTATATATTTGTGATAAGTCATCAAGTGTTCCATGTCATGTTTACATGGTGATTTATCAAACACTTTCATCATTCATATTGCATTCATTTGCATGTTCTGTGACTCATACGATTAAGGGCACTAAGACCATGGTGGCGGTTTTCCTCTGACGAGCTTGAAGCAATCGTGACCAATATTGCGTTCAACATAAAGAGTGTGGAAAGATCATCCCGTGACAGAAGTTGAGTTACGAAGAAGTCGATAAACATTATGTAGAATATGTCTAGGATAAGTGTGTGAGTACTTCTTGTAATCATCGTTCTATAGTGGATTTATTTTGGACTGAGGAGTCCCGTTGATTTTCCCCATAGGTTGGGTTTTACTATGTAAAATAATTTTCTGCATGTTCCTTTATTTTATGCTTAGCACGTTTCAGGATTGATAAGTCATATCAATCCTGCTACCAAAGTTTATTTTTTGCATTACATGATGTGGGGGAAAAAATTCTCAAATAAAGTCAAGGGTATGAAAAATTCCCACAAGTGCACTTAAGATAGACCAAACATAAAAATGCAATTTTTCTCAAGCTCCTAACCTGGAACCAAACAGCCAGTCAAATCCAAGCCAACCAAATCTAATACTTCGAAGCTCATCCTAACCAGTTCGAGCCAGCCCACCAAACAAGGCCTAAGAGTTTGAAGTCAATATTGGTATTAATGCTTGATGTAAAAAGCTTCAACCTCGCTTGCTGCATCCACATCACCCTTGACTAGAATATTCAATGTCTCATCCTCAGGTCAGTTCGTATTAATGAAGGAAAGCCTTATAGAATAGGGCACCTTCTATAGTGCACCAGGTGCACTCATGCACCATTTTCCCTTTATGATACGCTCAATTTTTTTTTAAAATTGGTTACCGGTTATACAAGTTGTCAAGTTTCTACTTTTTGTTAATATTTAATGCAAATGCAATTGCGTAAGAGTCGTGCAATTATGTCCTTCCTGTTTGGCAATTGGCATATGATTTGACATGTTATTTTTCAATTGAGTTTATTCTTTTGGGAGCTTCACTAATATACCCAAAATAGGGGCTGAAATTATAAAAAAAAAACCCCACATGATATGCACTTTAGAAACACACCCAAAATTCATTTACTACATAAGAAATTAGTGTTGAAGTTCCTATAAATTACATGACTGTCATTGATCAACTTAAAAGAAGCCCAACAAAAAAACTTAAATAGCACCCAAAACAAGCCCAACCCAATTTTATAAAAAAACCCAAGCAATTCATTACAAACAAAATGTCTTGAAAACCGTAGTTTTATTAACGTGTCATATTGATTAATGATTGTAATGTTCCACACCTTTTTGTCATGTTGATTAATGGTTGTAATGTTCCAGTCTATGGTAATAACACTGCTATTTTACTATCATGTTGATTAATGGTTGTAATGTTCCAGTCTAGGGTAATAACACTGCTAGTTTCCAATGGCATCTTATTTCTAATGCTTGTCTACCCATGTAATATTCCAGTTTAGGGTAATAACACTACTAATTTCCTATGATATTCTATTTCTAATTCATATTTACCCCTGTAATGTTCCAGTTTAAGGTAATAACACTACTAGTTTTCTATGATATCCTATTTCTAATGCATGTCTACCCATGTAATGTTCCATTATAGGGTAATAATACTGCTATTTTGTAATGTTCTAGTCCAGGGTAATAACATTGCTAGTTTACTGTCATGTTGATTAATGACTATAATGTTCCAATAAAGGGTAGTAACATTGCTAGTTTACTGTCATATTGATTAATGACTGTAATGTTCCAGTCTAGGGTAATAACATTGCTAGTTTCATATAACATCCTATTTCTAATGCATGTCTACCCCATGTAATGTTCCAGTCTAGGGTAATAACACTATTAGTTTCCTATGACATCCTATTTCTAAGGTAATAACACTATTAGTTTCCTATGACATCTTATTTCTAATGCATGTCTACCCATGTAATGTTCCAGTCTAGGATAATAATACTGCTAATTTCCTATGATATCCTATTATTAATGCATATATACTCCTGTAATATTCCAGTCTAAGGTAATAACACTGCTAGTTTACTGTTATGTTAATTAATATTTATCTTGTTACTATCTTATTAATACTATTATGTCATAAAAGGACATTGTTTATACTCTGTCATAGAAGTATATTGTTAAACAAAAATGAGATCCATAACTGAAATAGTAACAATGGATAAATCAATTATCAAAGCTTAAAATATGTTTCGAAAATCAACTAAAATATGAAGAGAAACACATAATTGAAGCAAAAGATCAAAAATCTCAAATCCAAACCAAACGACAACGACGACAATAAAGATGATGATGATGATGATGACAATGACGTGGTGAAAGAGGAGTAGAGCTTAAAGATGATGACTAGAGCTAAGAGCATCTGATCGAGGTTCGTTCAAGGTTCCAAACAATCCGGAAAAAAAAAATCAATATAAGCACGATTTTAGAACAAATCGAAGGTGAAATATTGAAAATTGTAAATGAGAGATGAAGAATATAGCTGGACTTGAGATTGAGCTTCAATGGAAGCTCCTCTTGCTCCAACATCGATAAAACACCAACAAGAAAGGAGAAAATAAAATATGATTTGGTTTTTTGGCAGATTTGATTTTTTTTGGTAGATTTGGTTTTTTTGGCAGATCTGGATAGATCTAGGCAGATTTGATTTTTCTCTCTCAAATCCATAGTACAAGGGCAATATAGGTATTTTACACACACAAATAAACTAAAAAATAGCTATTTAATTTTAAAAAAATTGACAGCTGCGATTTTTGGGTTTATTTTGGGTGTGTTTATAGTTTTTAAATGGTATAGGATTTCTTTATAAGACTATGTCTAAGATTGGGTATATAACTAAATTTGTATATTCTTTTTGACTCATGATGATATGCTTATGAATTTCGCAATGGTATTCGTTTACTTTTATAAATCTAAAGTACCAGACAGATCTGATGAAAACCCTAACAGTGGAATCGGATTGTAACAAATTTACAAGCTTAGAGTATGCGATTCTAAAAATTGAAAAGCCAGGTACTAACATGCCTTAACGTTGTAAGTACAGGGTATTAAACTGTAATTAACCCTAAAATTGATTTTCACAAATAATATGAGGTGGCAAAGAGATCAGATAGAGCCAGAGCATACATATATATTATAGTGCTTATGTTTCCCAAGTAGCCAGGGATTGGTCCTGATAAATTGTTCACAGTAATGGACCTGCACAGTGTACACATTTTGTCAGTTCAGTTAATATAAGCTATTATTGGCTAACCTTGCATGAAGTTCAGAAATCCTTTACAGATATTCCAACTTTGTAGAAGCCCATTCACGTGGTATTAGTAATAACATTACCACTTGTGGAAATGATATAAAAAACGTTTTCAGATGATAGATGCTATTAAAGATAAAAATTAAATTAAAATTTACAACTGAAAACGTTTCCCTTACACTCTTGTTAGGTAGGGTAACTTTGCAGCAGATGGTGGAACTACACCAGCAAGATCTTGCCCTTTAAGAAAACTGTATCACAAAAATGTCAGAGATCATAAGAACATAAAGAGTCCTCATTCTGAATCTTCTCCATAGAAAAATAATGAAAACTGGATTGAAATTGAAATGCTACATAAGATAATTAAACCAATAAATAAAGAAACAGAAAATGAGTACAAATAAAAGCTTTCAGTTGACGTACATGCTGACAACATGGCAGAAACCATCAGGGTAGGAGCAGTTGCATATGAGAGTGTTGTTGTATAAAGGCAAGTCAGCAGATTTTGGGGTAGCCCAATTTGTATCATTGCTGCATGGATCTATGCTGAAGTTCCAGTCTTTTTTTCCCACTTGTGTTGCTATTTCTTTTAGTGCTTCCACTGCGCACACAAATCAAATCATGAATCTTTTTATTTTTTTTCCATTTTCTGTGTTTTTTATGCATCAGCCGAGTTTATTTTTCATTTTTTAAAGAAAAGTAGAGTGATTGAGCCTGATATTGGCCCAAATTAATGTTGATGCCAAAATACTAATAGTGATTGGGCTTGGGCCTTGCCATCCACCATTCTAACCTAGTAAGCTTCTCTAGAAGGTGCAGATTATGCTCTGTATCTCTCTCAATCATTGAATTTCATATCCATATCCAGTTATAAATTTAGGATGAAAACAAGTTCTTTCTTTTTTTTAAATCTTTTTTGTAAGTTTATATCTAATCTAACCAACATGTAAAATTATATGGGTTCTAATTTTTGTTTATACTGACAAACATTGAACTGGGAGTTCTCTAACACAGTAACACTAGAAAGGCTAAAATCTTCTACCAATTCTCAATCAAACAGACCAACTTTTGCATTGAGCACTCTGTTCTCTGTTGTTCAACACCACTTAAAAAAAAAGACAGGCTTCATTTTTTTCAAAACAAAAACAAAAACAAAAACTGAGGCTTTAGTGCATAGATTTTGAGTATCAGCAATACCAACTTGAAAAAAGAAGAAGAAGAAGAAGAAGAGCCAGTAATTACCTTCTGCAGAAGCAAGACGCAGAGATTGTGCTTCAACTTTGACCGTGGATATGCAGAAGCAGAGGACCAACATGGCTACCAAAATGACAAGGTCCATGGTGGCTTTTGAAACATCAAAATGAAATCTTGCCATCTCAATCCCTGATGTAATATATCAATTCCCTGATATCTGTATCATCCTTATTCTTTCTTGGCTCAATCTCAGTCTCAATCTCTGTAGTTAATGAAGGGTCTCTGAGCCGTATGAGCCAATGGACTTTTGATGTGCGTGTACAATTTTATTATGTCTCTGACTTCGAACTACCTAGTTGGCCGATTTTATTACATTATTGTCGACGGAGGTGTTTTGCTTTCCTTGACTATGAAAAGTTTTTCATTTCTCTTTTGAGGGTTTTTTGGTTGGGGCCCATGAAAAGTTTTCGAATCCTTGTTTGGTACGTGAAATTTGACAAGATAGCATCCACTTTGTTTAACATGTGCCTTAATCTTGTTCCCTTCCATTTTTATAGACCATTTTTTGTTTCTTATACGAAAAATCATGAGACAAGGAAAAATCAAACACACAACCTTAAGAAATAACTTTACGTAAAAACTTCTTACGCGTTCTTAGTAGAGAGCTATTTTACCCAATATCGGATTAATTTCTTTGCTCTTGATTAATTAATGGGTTAATGTCATATACCCATTTCGAGTTGGCAGTGAGCCGTTTGATTTGTTTCCAAGATTGGAAATGCCCAGCTTTGTATAGCCTTAGACCTTCACCTGCCCAGCTCTGATTTGTTTCCAAATTCGATCATAATTGTCTTGTCAGAAGAAGATTAATATTTATTCAATAATGCTAGTTCCACGCCAGGCTCCCACTTTCTTATTATTATTTAAAGAAACAGAATTCATAAAAATAATAAAGGGCAATGATTTTCCCACTCCTATTTTATCCACTTACACTTCTTTTTTAGTTATAAAAAAGGAGTGTAAGTGGATAAAATAGGAGAAAAAGGAGTGGAGAAATCACCACTCATAATAAACTGACTAAGCTAATAATAATAACGTAGCCAATTTTATATGGTCCGGGGATGATTTCTGATCTTGTAATAAGAAGTCAAACAAAACAAATAATAATAATTTCATTGGCTACGTTATATATATAAAGTCCACGAGCACTTATGTAGTTAAGCGCGAAGAAATGTTTATTGTGAAGAGTTCATGGGTAGAACTTGCCTCTAAAAATCAACTTGTAAGAAAATAATGTTTAAGAGCTCGTAAACCACTCTAGGATATGCTATTTTTCCAACGTGAAATCTTGAGTCCTAGCATTTACATTAGCAAGAACTAGTACTGGGATTGATTTTATAGAGATCAGAAGACGTAGTAGTAGCAGAAGAACCAATCCATGGTGCATCTGATGATGAAGGAACAAGGCTCTGAGTTTGACTTGGATTCTGTGATGAATTGTGATCAAACTGGTTTGGCAAGGCTGTTAGCCTCAGTTCATCACCGTAAGTACTTGGATCCGTGACCAATTCATGAACAGCCGTACGTCCTTCAAGCATACTCACAACTGCAGACATGGCAGGCCTAAGCGCTGGTGCTGCGTTGATGCATAAGAGAGCAACTTTAATCATCCTAATGGCCTCTTCCTCACTCACATCGGACCCCAATCTTGGATCCACCAACTCCAATAATTCCCCTTTTTTTTGTAAAACAAGAGCCTGAAAATTTAGCAGAGAAAAGAGATTTGAAAATGGAAAAGCAACTCATAGAAGGAAAGAAGGATGACCAAGTTGGAAGGAATTTGAATGAAGATCCATCTTACCCAATCCACAAGGCATACAAAGTTCTCATTTGGTCGATATTTCATGTTGCTCTTTCCAGCAACAATTTCCAATGTAACAACTCCAAAGCTGTAGACATCTGCTTTATCGGTCAAATAACCCCATAGTGCATATTCTGGCGCCATATATCCTCTGCACACAAAAAACGATTGTTTTCCTTAGCTGGGTGGAGAAAAGTTCATAAACAAAACTAGGCTCTGAAATGCAGTTCAGAGAAAAAAACAGTATAGCTTACATAGTTCCAGCAACTCTAGTGCTAATGTGGGTGTTCTCCTCTTCGTCAAGCTTGGCCAACCCGAAGTCCGAGATCTTGGAGTTAAGGTCTCGGTCCAGTAATATATTTGTAGTTTTAATGTCTCTATGTACAATCTTCAGTGCTGATTCCTCATGCAAAAATGCCAGACCTCTTGCTATGCCTATGCATATATTCTGCCTCGTAGGCCAGTCCAATTTTAAAGGACTTTCCTCCGGAACTGCAACAAACATGGATTCCCAATCAATGATCTCATTTTTGTTTTTCTTAATACACCATTTCAGTTTTTTGCCACTGGACTTGATAAGCTTACCGAACAAAGCACGTGCAAGGCTGTTGTTTTCCATGTATTCATATACCAACAGTAACTGGTTTGATTCAATACAGCATCCATACAATCTAACAAGATTTGGATGTTGTAAACCAGAAATCATGCCTATTTCATTCACAAATTCTCGATTTCCTTGCTTTGATTTGGATGATAGTTGCTTAACTGCAATTATAGTACCATCCAATAATATACCCTGAAATAAATACAGTTTAGTAGTTTTCAAGCATGATAAGTAAGGCCTATAAGTAAGGAACTATTTATATGGTACCTTGTAAACAGATCCAAAACCGCCTTCCCCGATGTGTATAGGATCAAAGTTATTAGTGGCGGCTTTAATTTGCTTGAAGGTGAAAAAACCAGTTTGCAGATCCAGTCCCCTCAGAGCTATCCACAAAACAAGGTTAGAATATATTGGTAATGTCGTTGAACTTAGTATCTGGGTATGTGTTTTATAGCTAAATGGCAATAGAAGACTGAGACCAAAGTACTACTTGAAATTTTCACAGTAACTTAGTGGCACCTTTTTCCCTAGATATCTTGCTATCCAGACAGCCTTTCCACCAAAGAACGCTGAAAATCAAGAAAATGAGGAACAAGACCGAAGCTCCAACTGAAGCTCCCACTACAATAGGTACCTTGCTTTTGCTACCATGATGAGGCTTGAACTCTAGCAAATAAAAAAGTGAAAAGAAAAAATCAGCAACAGAGAATACAAGTTTCAGTTCTATGAGATGCCGTCATATGTCCGCGGTATATCAATTCATAGCAGTATCTTGTAGGATGTTGTAAAGACCAAATTGAGCTAGAAAGATCGAAAAGAAAGAGATAAATTGCACAGTTTCTTGTTATTTAAGGTAAACAAACTTTCCATCTGGGTACTTCTTCCTTTAGTATACTGTACTTGATGTACTATATATTTTCCAATGTATTGCAGTTAACATAATTGTATTTTTGGAACGAGTACAAACAAGTGGGATATAATAAATTTTTTAAACAAACTTAAGATTGTGTCCATGAGAGAGAGTTATGTTTCCAATTCAGAATATACCAGGCTCTACAGAGATAGCAGATATAAGAGCACTATTTGTCCCTTTCCCAGACCAATGAAATCGGATCTCTAAAGTTTTATTCTTAACCTCCACTGCTTTACTTTCCTTAATGAGTTCTTTATCAACGCCGTGTGCTTCCTTTTTAATTTCAAAATCCTTCCACACCAGTTTCTCCTGTAACAAACTTATCAATCAGAAATCATATTTTGTTGCATATAGTGTACAAACAGTATGCTTGACTACCTGAATATAAATATCAAATATCCGTCTTCCAACACTACGAAAAGATCTACTGCTTCTGATCGTTATCTCCGAAAAGTGAAGTTTCACGGTGTAATTGCCATTTAGAAAGCAGCGTGCATAATAAGTGAGAGAAAGAGCAGAGAGGCGTGCACTTGTGTACAACTCAGAGTTTTTCATTCTAAGTTCAGATACATTATGTGCAATGTAGTCTGCAGCAGAGGGTTTAGAATCCCTGAAAGTTCCAGTGCTACTGGTTCCCCAGATAGGTCTGTGAGGAACGAAACTTGCTGCACCTCCTGAGTCTTGATCATCTTCAAAGGTGACTCCTTCAATGGTGGTTTGTTTTCCACCACAATTTATATGCAACGAGTACTGATCTATTCAGTAGCAAGCAACAGAGAAATGACATCATAAAAATTCTAATCAGATTAAGTCAAATAGTTGACTACTTAAAAATTCAAATTAGAAAGTATTGATTGTAAAACAGTTTCTGTCATTGTCACATGCAAACTTAAATTATGAACTAATTCTTTTACAAGAACTTTAAAATATTAAATAATTAAAAAAGCAAAGCCATATTGTATTGTATTGTTACCTTCTTGACATTGAAAGTTCCTCAAGCACACTCCAAATGATCTACATTAGTGTGGTACAAAATCAGCTGATGCAAATTTAAATTCCAGAATATATAGAAAGGACAAAAATGGCTTCACCAATGAAGATTAAAAGTTTAGAAGCTTACGAGTTTCTTTGTGCAGAAAAGCTTTCAAACAGGTTTCTGATAAATATTTCAAAGAAAAATACATTATTATAGGTGAATGAAGACACCAAAGTATGCTAAATAATCACTAACTAGAAATATGTTCTTACAGGTTTTCCCGGCAAGTAGTTGGCTCAGAGCTCTCAGAAAAATTGTTGTAAGAAATATCTGTCGGGCTGCATACAATACAATAAAATTGTAAGTCCGAACAGCTCCACCAGAAAAGTTGCATTTTGGAGTATCAATAAAAATTGTAAATATGGTTAAAGGATCAATTCCACAACAGAAAATCCTAAAAGTTGATCATTTAAAATTTTAAATGTTTCAGACAGTTAAGATCGATTGTATGTGACTGCGTATAGACCTCTAATCAAAGTAGAAGTTCCCATATTTCTAACTATATTATCTGCGTAAACGTTACTAATCACGAAATTCTGTATAGGATGGAAAACATACTAGTCACGATCTCTGCTCTTTATCCAGTCTGGAACAGACCCGGTAAGCCAGTTGCTTGTTAGATACCTATCAAATGCATAATGACATTATGTAAAATATATGTAAATATAATATAGAGTTGTAATTTAATATATGTAAATATCATATAGGCAGGGGAGGCCGCCCCGCCATGCATTATGATGTCTGCTGGTGACCTTCATGAAATTCACATTTCTTACAAGTACTGCACGCGTTGCAGATGTTCATAGTCAGGACTATCAATATTTCCTTCCAATTTGTTGAAGCTGAGATCTCTGCAAGAAATCAACTAAAAAGATTGTCATAACTCATAAGATCCCAAAGATCCATTATTTGGAAGCTTAAATGAACGAAAAAAAATATCATTAATCAACTTGCGCTGTGCACTTGAACAAGGTGAAAAACAAAGAATAACAGTGTTACAATTTATTCAACTTGTGCATTTCTGATATATAAGCAGGGATAGGTCCATATAAATTGCAGCTCCTCAGCATTCTGCAACATAACTTCGTAATATTAGCCTAACTCAGCTAAGAGTCTTACATTACAACATGAAAATGTAGAACAGTTTCAAGACGTACAAGTCTGTCATGCCCATTATATTACTCAAGTTTGGAAATTTTGAACCCCCTCCATTTAAGTCACTGAACCTTCTGCATTGAATTTCACCATGAATCATTGTGAGAAAAACAAGTCACTGTGGTATGAAGTTATCATAAAATTTTCAAATCAGGATTAAGGTTCTTTAGTGTTACTGCAATGCAGAACTCACAGTTCTTTTAAATTACTCAAGACAGAAATGCTAGACGGAATGGGCCCACTGAGACCACTAGCTTGGATCTCTCTGTCAACAACAAAATTCAAAATCAATCAAGCTTACACAAGAAGAGTTGTTAGAATATGTTATGGGAAAAGGCACTTACAATTTCTTAAGTTGTTTAAAATTTTCCAAATAATCAGGTATTTTTCCCGTGAAGTTGTTACTGCTAATCCTACTGCATGAAGGGAAAGATTGAAAAGCATAAAGCTGAAGATTTCCAAACGTGGAAAACAATGTTAAGAGTACAAACACTTACAATTCTCTTAATTTAGCCAGATTAGTGAAAGCCACTGGCAATTCTCCTGTGAGATTGTTTGCACTAAGAATGCTGCAGATACCAAGGCCAGTCTTAATAACTTATCCACTGCAACTTGCTTTACCATTAATATTAAAAAGAAACTGTGGATGCAAAAGAAAAAGGGAGCTTACAAAATCTCCAAGTTAACCAAATTCCCAAGCTCAGGAGGAACAGTTCCAGAAAACAGGTTAGTCTCTAAGTTCCTGGAATTAAATTCCTCGTCACAGCAGGCTAACCGAAATGAAACTTAAAGTTGATTTGAAAAATAAAAAAAGAGTGGTCAAGAGAGATAGAGGCAGAGCATACAGATTGATTAGAGTGGTAATGTTCCCCAAGTAACGAGGGATTTGTCCTGACAAGTTGTTCACACTCACGGACCTGCATGCAGTTTCCTCATTTTCTTAGTAAAATTAATAAAAGCAATTAGAATTGGCTAAACTTGAACTTGAAGGTCAGAAGTCATTTTACAGAAGTTCCAACTTTGTAGAAGCCCATTCAGGCGGTATAGTACCACTGAGGTAGTTCCTGGAGAAATCACTGTAAAAAATATAAAATAAAAATAAAATTATACTATTATTGAGCTTTGCAGATTATTAACTGAGAAAGATTTCCCTTACACTTGTGGTATGTAGGGCAACTTTGGGAGAGATGGTGGAAGTACACCACCAAAATCTTGCCCTCTAAGAAAACTGTATAACAAAAATGTTCAGCGCTCATAAACTTCAAAACCCACATGCACAATTGCACATACACTGATTTAATGATAGGCATGCACAACATAACTCAAACGTAATTCACCCAAAGAACAAAAAGAAAAATCAAATCAAATCTCTTGCATGCTATAGTTTAGTGGACTATTTGTTAGAAAGTAAATGTATTTTAGATAGGAAAGAAATTTGTAATTGATTCATATATCCAATCCTTCCCTTAGATGAAAGAGGGATTCGAACTTAAGTGCAAGAGGATGTGCTCATTACTCTGGCCGACTGGAGTGACCCACAACTGTGCCAAATTATATTAAGGTTTATAATGAACAAGAAAAGGAAATTAAATTCATAAATAAACCAAGAGAAAACATATAAATAAGTAAGCTTTGAGTTGACGTACATGCTGACAACGTGGCAAAACCCGTCAGGATGGGAGCAGTTGCATCCGAGGGTGTTGGCAGTATCCCAGTAGTTTGTGTCATTGTTGCATGGGTTTATGTTGAAGTTCCAGTCCGTTTTCCCCAGTTGTTTTGCTATTTCTTTCAGTGCTTCCACTGCGCGCACGCAAATCAAAGCCATGATCATATAATTGAATATTTTCCACCATAATCAACTCAAATAGCATTGATTAGATCCTGTTTTTTTTATAATAAAGATAAGGTAATATCGGGCCCTCAATTATGACTGGGTAGGCCTGATACTGGCCAACTTGGTGCCAAAAAGGTGACCAGGTTTATTTTTCATTTTTTAAAGAAAAGTAGAGTGATTGAGCCCAAATTAATGTTGATGCCAAAATACTAATAGTGATTGGGCTTGGGCCTTCTGCCAACCAACATTCTAACCTAATTGAGTCTTTTTTTTTTTTTTTTTTTGGTCAATTCTAACCTAATTGAGTCTCTGTCTCCGTTGTTTTGTCTATGACTTCAAACCTAGTTGGCCGATTCGATTACATTATTGTCGAGGGAGGTGTTTTGCTTTTTCTAACACTGAAAAGTTTTTCATTTCGTTCAGACCCAAAAAAAAAAAAAAAAAAGTTTTTTCATTTCCCTTTTGACGATTTTTTTTTTGTCGGGGCCCATGAAAAGTTTTTTGAATCTTTTTTTGGTACTGAAATTTGGCAACATGGACCCTTGATTATTCTAAAAGCCTTTGTATCACAAAACATTATTGAGGTTTATAAATCTATCAGATTGAGTCTTTTTTTTTTTTTTTTGGGTCATTCGTGGTCTTCAAGATTAGTATGTGTACTCACAAATAGTTCATGCCATCAATTTTCATAAATAAATAAAAAAAACTTCGTTAATTTTCTGATGTGCATATACGTGGAGTCCACATATCTAATTATATAATGCCACATGTATTTAAAATACAATATATATTTTTTAAATAATTTAAAATTAAAAATGAAAAAACCAAAAAAAAAGTTGTATTTTAAAATTTAAATTATTTTTAACAAAAATATATTTTATTTTAAATACATGTGGCATTGTATTATTAGATATGTGGGCTCCGCATATATGCCACAACAGCAAACTAACAGAGTTTTTGACAGAAGGACTATTTGTGAGCACACATTTTAACTTTAAGGACCATAAATGACACACACAAAAAAGGACATAATTTGATAGTTTTGTGATAAAAAGCCTATTCTAAAATATGACTTCCCTTGTGATTACTATTAATAGATGAGTATTTGAATTATTCCTTAATTATGTTGCATTTACTAACACTAGCCTCTCCCAGCGCTTTCATGCTGGCGAGAGGTTTTTTTAAAATAAAAATGAAAATAAAAAATTTTATTTTCTGGTATTTTGAATGTTTTACCATTTTCTGCTTTTTACTTTATATATATAGATATAAGAATAAAACTTGAATGAATTTCACATTAAAAGATACAATCCAATACCTAAAAGAAACTAGATTGATTGAAATGGTAGTAGTTGATCTCATGCATATTCATTCTTTTACTTATTCCTTAGTTCCTTTATTCGAAATAATTGAACACGTTATAAAGAGAGTTTCATGTTACAGCGCGATACAAACACTATAATAAATTTAAAACCACAAAAGAAAAAAAAAAAAAGAAAAAGAACAAGGAATATATATATATATATATATATATCATCAAATTCAAATGGGTTATGTATTTTAATTTTTGTATTAAACGGTTGATATCAATGGGTGAGATGAAATTTGTTAGTAAATGATGATAACGAATAATACCAAGTGTAAAAAATAAAAATAAATAAATAAATAAAAGAGGTGGGTTTGATTTAGTTTAGAGGGTTTCAAAAAGGTCAAAACAAACCACACGAAACTAATTGTGGTTTGGTTTGATTCCTTCAGTCCAAAATTACAATTTTTTAGTGAAAAAAATCAAAACAGTGGCATACTGCCGCTAAAACTTGACTAAAGTGAGGCATGGATATTTGTATTATCAATATATACACACTTAAACAAGAAGAAAGAGTAAGTTACCTTCGGCAGCAGGCAGACGCGAAGCTTGTTCTTCAACTTCGACTGATTTGGTGCATAAGCAGAGAACCGAAATGAGCATAATAAGGTTCATGATGGTTTTTGGAGCAGTACAATTAACTCCTCTTGCCATTTATCCTTGATGCACTACAATGGTAAGAAAACTCTCTCGGAATTTCTCTTTCTCTCTCTTCATCTCATCCTCAGTCTTCTTTCTTACTCAGGCTTGTACAATGCACACAAACCATTACCTATTTATAGGCAAGGAGGGCAAGACCCTTCAGTGAGAGTGGGGCCTTTCTTATTATTTCATATTCATACTAATCATGCTTTTGTTCATACATGCTGCTACCCTCAGTTTTTACCGAAGGACTTGAAGAGCAACTACCCTCAGTTTCCGTCAATGTCGATCAGTCAATATGATAGACTTTGACAATTATTTATTATTAGTTTCCTTATGCATGCAGCATACAGTGGACTTGACGATTGATTTGGTCCCCAACACAGAAGGATATTCTACCGAAATTTCGAGAGAAACTTCGCGCTTGGAAAATTTCTTTTCTTTTTCTAATTCCGGTTTGGCCTATGTGTAGGTATATAAATTTTTACACAAATCTCCTTCTCCTAACCTTAATCAGCCCCAAAATCAGAGAGGAAGAAGATAGATTAGTCAATGAAATAATGTAGAGAATTTCCGCTCTTTCGTTATGTAATTTTCATATTAAACGATGAAGAAAATTCTAGAGGAAGACAGATTAGTAAATGAAATAATGTATGGAATTTATGCTCTTTCTTTTTGTAATTTTCATGTTAAATGACTCAGAAAATTCTAGAGGAAGACAAATTAGTCAATGAAATTTCCGCTCTTTCTTTATGTAATTTTCATATTAAATGACGAAGAAAATTCTAAAAATAGACCTATCAGAAAAGGACATACATGTGCTCATAAAGGAAAAAGTAAAATACATGTCCTCCTTCTTTGTTCTGAGGAGTGGGACAAAAGTAGGTGTTTATAAGACTTTGAGGAAGACTTTTACCAATCAATCAATGAAGACTAAAGGAAGACTTCAGTACCAATGAATGGCTCCTTTCTTGGTTGGGGGAACGTGTGCGTAGGTGTTAAAATTCATTGGAGAAAGACTAGAGGACTATACCACATCATGTGGTAGATAATGTGTCAATTTGCAAATAACATTAGTAGCAAGTTTACTATACTAGCCACCTACAATTTTAAGCTTGATCATTCAAATAATGCTTGCATCCTCTGTTTTACCATGGCTGCTAGCACAAAGAAAGCCGATGCTTTCATTGCCTTTTCTACCTCCACGCGGCATTGCTCTGTTGGGCTTTCTCCCATTGCGGAGAATTCCCCACTACTGCCTTCGGTAGGAGTATGGGCTGTGTCTCAGTTAGTGTGGTTGATCTTCCTAATTGCCTTAGTTAGCTTTGCCTTACCAACTACCTAATCAAACACAAGGCCCCTCCTCGAAGAGAAAGTTACTAGCAGAACTATATAAGACTTTTAACAGTTGTCACATATGATTATGTGTGTTAAAACCCTTTCAACCTTAACCCTAGAATTACACAGAGTAACAAGTATTATTTATTGAATTATCAAAACAGTACAATATTCTCAACAACTCGTTCTTGATACAATAATTGCATAATATAGTTGTAAGCTCTCATTAACCAATTCGGTTAGAAACTAATTTCTTAACTAATCAATTAACAAACTGACTATATGTCAGCTCATCACTAATCCAACTCAGCAATGATGAAGGTTCCTAACAATGTGATCAGCCGATGTGACGTAGTGTTATTGATTAAAATATAGCCATCCCTACTACCTCATGTAAATCCCACAAGACACATATTCACGAAGGGGAAGAAAGTAGGGGGAATGCTAGCAACCTATGTTGCACAGACACGGTAGTGAGCTGAAGTGTCGGTGTGTCCGACACTCGGACACAACGCGGATATGCCTCCAACACGCCTTGGACATGGGTCAATGCCTTGGACACAGTCAAGAGACTCCCGACACGGCAAACTCATGGTCAAGACACGGCGGGGAATTTTTGAAAGGTTGCAGAGAAAGCGTTGTGTGACTGGCGAAGCGAGGCCATTGCCCTCCAACAATCACCTCAATGATGCGTTCGTGTCCTAATTTTTTGAAATTTCCCGTGCCGCCGTGTCTCTGTGTCACATTCCCGTATCCCCGTACTCGTGTCCGTACAACATAGCTAGCAACTTCTCTCCAACCTTCTTTTTTGGACCTTCTTCTTTTTTCTCATGACATGTGTCACTTTGAAAAAAAAAAAAAAGTTAAATGTTCCGGTTCTGCATCACAAACCTTATCTTTTGAAAAATCACCAGGAAAATAATGAGTAGTCAATTGTATAAAGACCCGACAATATTACGTATAATTAATTCATAGGGTTTGTGCAGTTAACGCAATCACCAGGAAAATAATGAGTAGTCAATTGTATAAAGACCCGACAATATTACGTATAATTAATTCATAGGGTTGGTGCAGTTGTTCTTTTTTTTTTTGGACAAAGAAGCTTTCATTGATAGCAAAAGAGGCGTACAAAAGGATACTAACCTGAAAAGCTAATAGAAACTCAGGGAAAAAAACTAAACTCACGGTCTAGAAACCAGTTTTTCCCCACAGAGACAAAAACACTAAAAACAAAAATTACAATTAAGGGGGACTAGGAAGTCCATCAGAAGCCAGAACGCTCTGCATTTTACTTTATGTAATATATTGTCGGCGGCTGAAATAAAATTTCAAAATATTGCCGTTCAGTTTCAACGTTTCTATTAATTTGCAGAAATTTACAGCAGAAATTATTCAGTCTTTGGTGAGGAAAACGAGTGAACGAATTAAATTGAATCTTCAATTGAATAATATTGATATTGTTATTATTGTTGTTTGCAGAGACAAACATGGAACGAATGAAGCTAATAGAAAATTGAACAAAATATGCACAGAAAAGAAAAAATGGACACAGCTAATCTGCATATGCGTTTCCGAAGACTACAAACTACAACATACTTGCTACTATAGAACCAGAATGTCCACAACTGTCAAGAGGGTGTTGAGTCTGGATTGATTTCAGAGAATTCAAGGCCGGACGTAGAGGTAGACTCGAATGTGTGGACCGTAGTTGAATGCTGTGTTCCACTGATACTTAAACTATGATGTTGCCTCTGCCGGTGGAGGTCTCTCATGGCCTTGAACCTCAAATCTTCTCTATAGGTACTTGGTTCTGGGATCACGTCAGGAACAGAGGTTTGTCCTTCAAGCATGCTCACCACCTCGGACATGCTAGGCCTAAGTGATGCAGAGGCATTTGTACAAATCAGAGCCACTTTAACCATGATCTCTGCTTCTTTTTGGTCGACTTCGGACCCTAACTTCTCATCAACTAGCTCCAACAAGTTTCCTGTTTGTTGCAAATGACAAGCCTGCAAATGTTTATTGTAGTTTCTCACTGAATTAGTAACAACGAGAACAACCAGATGTGACAAGATGGATGTAAAAATGGATCAAAGAGCTAGAGGGAATGGTAAGAGTACCCAATCTAAAAGGCAAATCCAGTCATCACTTGGGATATAATTATTGTTGTTCTTCCCACTCCAAGGCCACTACTCCAAAACTGTCATTTGTAAATATCTGCTTTGTACGTCAGGTGACCTCATAATGCATATCCTGGTGCCATGTATCCTCTGCAAATCAAGATCCCAAAATCTTGTTATTCAACCCAAAAAAAAAAAGATCACCAATTTAGCTAGACTTCGTTGCAAGTATATCAAGAAGTCAGTGTAAACAAGGACATGGAAAGTGGAAACTGACATGGTCCCAGCAACTCGGGTGCTCATGTGCGTCTTCTCCTCTTCATCAAGCTTTGCTAATCCAAAGTCGGATATTTTGGGGTTCAAGTCCCGATCAAGCAGCACATTAGTAGCTTTGATGTCTCGGTGAACCGTTTTAAGTACAGATTCTTCATGGAGAAAAGCTAGTCCTCTTGCTATCCCAATACAAATATTATGCCATCTCGAGTCATAGGGCTAAATGTAGTCCAGGACTAAAAATTTAGCCCTCCAAAATATTAATTTTTTTTAAAGAATAGTGCATGGCTAAATTTTTCCATCTCCAGCCATGCATGACTGTATTTTAAGGCTCTTCGTATTTTATTATTTTGAGAAAAACTATGGTACAGCACTCATATGTTTCACAACTATGTATTGTTTAATTTAATTAAACTACGATTTAGAGACAATATTTTTTTTAAACAAAATGAATTTAAAACATTTTAAAAGGTTTTAAATAAATAAACTTTTCAATCAATGGTTCTAACCTCCAACAATCAGAAACCAATTATATATATATATATATAAAGAAACAAAATGAATTTTAAAAGGTAATTAAAAATAAAATAAAAAAACCTAACGGCTAGCTGACGTCATCGATGATGTCAACACACCTTTAATATTGGCTGTTGAATCTGCAGTTGCATGACATGTTTCGTGTTCTTACCTACGCATGATACTTTCTCCTCTTGGAAAGCACATGTGCTGGGCCCACAAAAAAATTTGGCGTAGGCCAAAGCTAGGCTATACATTTGGCCTAATTGGAGGGTGTTGAGGCCCAAAAATCCAAGGGGCTAAGCCCAAATTAATCCTTAGCCCAATATGGGTAATTGGATGCAAAATAAGCTCAATCGGGGC